AGACGGAGTTTCACTCTTGTTGCTCTGGCTGAAGTGCAGTGGTGCAATCTCAGCTCACTGCAACCTCTGCCTCCTGGGTTCAAACAATTCTCTTGCCTCAGCCTCCTGAGTAGCTGGGATTACAGGCATGCACCACCACACCTGGCTAATTTTTGTACTTTTAGTAGAGATGGGCTTTCACCATGTTGACTCCTGAGGTTAGGAGTTTGAGTCCAGCCTGAACAACATGGTAAAACTCCATATCTATTCAAAATAAAAATAAAAAAGATTAGCCAGGTGTGGTGGCGGCTGCCTGTAATCCCAGCTACTTGGGAGACTGAGGCAGGAGAATGGCTTGAACTCAGGAGGAAGAGGTTGCAGTGAGCCAAGGTCACACTGCTGCACTCCAGCCTGGGTGCAACAGAGCGAAACTGTCTCAAATAGAAAAAAAGTAAAAATGAACAAAGGATCTGAATAAATCATTTTTTGAGGAAGCTCTTTGGTTCGTTTACATGGGGAACAGAAGCTCTTTAGGTTGAACAGTTCATTCTGAAAGCAGAATGGGCTAGTCCCCTTTAAAAGTTTGATAAGAAAGAGGCTGGGCACAGTGGCTCATGCCTGTAATCTGAGGTCAGGAGTTCAAGACCTGAGGTCTTGACCTGTAACCTGAGGTCAGGAGTTCAAGACCAGCCTGGCCAACATGGCAAAACCTCATCTCTACTAAAACACGAAAAAATTAGGCTGGGCGTGGTGACTCATGCCTGTAATCCTAGTACTTTGGGAGTCTGAGGAGGGGGCAGATCATGAGATCAGGAGTTCGAGACCAGTCTGGCCAACACAGTGAAACCCCATCTCTACTAAAAATACAAAAATTAGCCAGGCATGGTGGCACATGCCTGTCTGTAGTCTCAGCTACTCAAGAGGCTGAGGCAGGAAAATTGCTTAAACCTGGGAGGTGGAGGTTATCAGTTGAGATCACGCCACTGCATTTCCAGCCTGGGCAACAGAGTGAGACTGTCTCAAAGAAAAAAAAAACAGCCAGGTGTAGTGGTGGGTTCCTGTAGTCCCAGCTACTTGGGAGGCTGAGGTGGGAGGACAGCTTAAGCCTGGGAGGCTGAACAGAATGGCTGGGCTCCCACCTAAACCCTATTCCTAAGCCTGGAACTGGAGCCCTAAGTGAGAACAGCTGACACCGCTTTTCCACCCGAATGTTACCCTTTTGGCTTGCCACGCCCCATCCTCTGCCATAAAAAGACTTCAGCTGGCAAAGCAACACAAGCAGCTGAGCAGTGAGCAGAGAAGCTACTGAGTGTCAGAGACTACAGACACGCAGCTCACTTTGGAGGGTTGGGCTTCAGGGAAAGATCACCTTCCTGCACCATCCCCTTTCCAGCTCCCATCCCACTTCCATAACCTAATAAAATCCTCCGCATACACTGCCCTTCAATCCATTCATGTGACCTGATTCTTCCTGGACGCCAAGCAAGAACCCGGGTGGGCAGGGGCTTGGACGCTGCTGCAGGAGGTGTACAGAGCCTGCTCCTGCCAGAGAGGATCGACCAATCGGTTCCAGCATTTGTTTGCTCTGGTTCCTGCACTTGCTTGCTCACACTTTCCCTCTTGCAAGGAGTGGCCAGTAGTGAGTTGAAAGCCACTCCAGTTCCTACCCACAAAGCGGGTCAAGGGAATTATCCCATCTCAGGTGGTTGTGGTGAGCCAACATTGCACACTGCACTCCAGTCTGGGTGACAGAGTGAGACCCCATTTCAAAAATAACTAAAGTTTGTTAAGAAGGGAAAAGAGAGATGGGAATGGTAACATGTTAGAAGGCTAAGATCAGTGGGGATTTTTATTTTTTTAGAGATGGGGCATCTTGTTATGTTGCTCAGGCTGGTCTTGAACTCCTGGCCTCAAGCAATCCTCCCGCCTCAGCCTCTGTGCTGAGATTACAGACTTGAGCTGCCACACCCGGCCTTTAGTGGGAATTTTGAATGAGAGAAGGGGAATGTCTTAGGATAATAGGAAAGAATTGTGAAATTATATCTACCAAAAGTGCTGTGAGTGTTGAAAGTAGAAAAAGATGAGGTTAAAGTGGTAAAAGGATTTGTAAAACATCTGCTAGGCCCTGACTAAGTTGAAGGTTTCCCAAGCCTAAGGAAGAACATAAGCAAAGGTGGGATAGAACCCAAGTAAAAGTATAAAAGGACAGAGGGGCCAGGCACAGTGGCTCACGCCTGTAATCCCAGCACTTTGGTATTGCCTCCTCCCAATGCAGGATGATTGCTTGCGTCCAGGAGTTTGAGACTGGCCTGGGCAACACAGTGAGACACTGTCTCTACAAAAAAAATTATAAAAATTTCAGCCTGGCCAACATGGTGAAACCGCATTTCTAATAAAAATACAAAAAATTAGCTGAATGTGGTGGCGGGCGCTTGTAATCCCAGTTACTCAAGAGGCTGAGGCTCAAGAATCGCTTGAACCCAGGAGGTGGAGGAGGCAGCTGCTTTGTCCATTTTTAAATTGGGTTCTTTCTCTTTCTAGTATTAAGATGTAAGATGTATATATTCTAGATACACAAGTCTATTATCAGGTATAAGTTTTGAAA